ATATTTATTTATTGGAGTAAAGTCTACATATTTCTTTATAAAGTCAAAGTTTCTAGCTGAGCGGATATACTCTATTTTGTTATTTTATTGAAATTACTTATTGTAGCTCATGTCGTAACATCTCTATGCTCATTTATTTCATTTCACATTTTATCTAATTCTATTTGAGTATGCAGTGCATTTGTGTTTTCTTATGATGAAGCGGCAGCATATTTATTGCTTGTGAGTTTCATTCCTAACAGTTTCTGTTCATATGACGGTGTGTGTGTTTGTGCACATTTGAAACAGAAATAATATGAATTTAAATTGAAGGCAAGAAGTGAAAATAAAACGATCTGCTGTTCGCTGAACTCGGAAAAGCAGACGGGAAGTTGCAAAAATGACGCACACATGTGGCAAACTGACAAAAGTCAAGCAGCCAGCCAGCCAGGGCCTGTCTTAAGGCAGAGGCGGAGTCCGGGCAGGCACAACAGATTGAACTTGTCAACATGTTGGGAGAGCGGAACCAAGTCGCAACGTCTTTGAATAAATGACTGAATGAATGAATAAGAGTMAGCGTGTGCGTAAACTGATTGTCGAATAGTGGCAAAAGTATGCGAAATATATGCGCACACTGGGCGGGGGTGCTAGTTTTCGTTCTGGTGTTCGTTTTTGCATTCGCATTTCTTCAATTTACTTGTTGAGCTAAGTCATAGCCGCCTGGTTTATCAATTTCTGTTTCRTTGTTGTCTCACARTCTGTGCCATGGGAGAAATTGCAACTGTTGTTCGCAAACTGACATTGACAGGCAACGGCTGTTGGCATTGTGAAATAGTTATTGGGTGGCATGCCGCCTGCCTCAACTCAACTCAGCTCGGTTCGGCCTGCCACTCGCTGAGCATCAATTTGAATGACATTCATAGAAATGGAGGAAAAGAWATTGTGACATTTGTATAGAAATAGTTTTGCAGCTCTAACAAATAGTTGTGCAAATATTTTTTGATTGCCGCATACTTTTAGGAGCCGCCTCGGGGCCAACGAGCAACCTGCAACAATGCAAGCGGCATTGCAACTGCAACAGCAAGTGCAAAGTTGCCACAAAGTCTCCACGGATACTAGAAATATTCTTCATAGCTCGGCTWGCTTCTGAAATCTTTGACATTAATTTCCTTAGTACTAACACTAGACAGTGCCATCAGATAAGCTGGAACAGATGTAAATAAACGAAGCAGCTGAGATATAAATATATATATGAGATATAAGATGATATGATATGAGATATAAGATTCGTCTCATTGGTAAAGCACTGATAACCTTTTAATTTTAGTTTATAGATGTTTAGAATCACTGCAACATACTTGTATTTATATTATAATTAAAA